CTCTAAGGGTTGTTGGGTAAAATGAAGAGCAAATCATTGGGCAATGGAGTCCCGAATTCCAATACAGGGTGTCTGATGTGGACCACCTGCTGCTCTTCGCTAATAGCCTGCTATAGTCATTTACTACTGGGGTGAGCCCTCATTTTGGGGGGAAGGAGGTCACCGTGGGGACCACCTTTCCTCCCAGAAGAGAGCCACCTCTGGGCCACCAGTACATTTCTCAGCCATTTTTTCAAAGTTGTGGCATGCATGCTGCCGCAACTTTCGGGCCTCAGCCTCTGGAGCAAAATGGCTGGCGGCGCCAGCCAAAAGGAGGCCAGCACTGTTTTGCTTTTTTTGCCGGGCTAGAGGAAATGGCCTTGGAAGTACTGGTGGTTATTAAAATAAAATTTTAAAAATGCAATTTTTCATGGAGCTCCGGGCGCTTCCGGGTCAACTGGGGTTGGCAGAGATGAGCTTTCGGGTCCAGCTGGTGGCGTGCTTCCTGGAGTCCCGTCACCATCACCATCACCATCACCATCACCATCATCGCCATCATCATCATCACTTGTTGCATCCGTGTCACTGTCCGTCGTGTGATTGCCGTCATCATCCGCCTCACTGTAGGTGTTGTTGTCGTTGGAGTCGAGAGCCCTTCCCCGGACCCTCTGAAGGGGAGTGCCATGATGGCCGGTCAGATGCGTCTCGCGAATCTTCTTCTGGCGATGACTCTCTGTTGTGGCCGCGGCATAGTCTGCCAAGAGTGGGAGGAGAATCACCAAGGTCCACATAACGGTGTAGGAAACTGCTGTTGACGGCGAAGAGGTCTTCATCATCATCATCATCTCCCTTCCTCCTCTTCACGCCTCCCTCTTCTCCACCTCCACCTCCTCCTCCTCCTCCTCCTCCTCCTCCTGCTGCTGCTGCTGCTGCTGCTCCCACTTTCCTCACGGATCACAAAAGCTGATCAGTGCAGTGCTGGTTTCTTTAAAAGGCTGCAGTTGGTTGAGCTGTAGAAGACCGTGAGCTACACACACAACACACGCACCGCACGTACACACACGCGCAGAGCAGAGCACAGACACATACACAGAGCAGCACACACACACAAACACACAGAAAGAAAGGAAATGCACACACAGTAGCTGCAGTCAAATCGGTTGATGTCAGCATGAGAGAAAAGAACTCTGAATACGGGAGGAGTTTAGATACCAGTGAGAAGTCCTGCTATCACCGTGGGAACACGGTTTTTTTCGGCAGAAATGTCTCAAAAAAAAAAAGAAAAAAAAGACAATGCTGACACAGCTAAGGCGAGAGAGTTGCCTCACGAGTCAAAATGACGACAGAACAGATGAACAAGAGAGTCAAGAAAATAAAAATGAGATTCATAAATTGCATCAATCACCAGCTACGAGAGTATTTACACAGTCATTGGGCCTCGCTCCACTATTCTCGAGTATCGACATGCACAAAAGACCAAAATCATCGGGGTGCATCTTTCTTTCCATCTTCTAGCAGAAGATTCACTCTCGTTTTGCACATTTCGAGAGTAGTGGAGCGAGGCCCATTATCTCTCCGTGGAACAAAGGCTGCGGTGGGTTGAGGGTGTCAAATGTGCCCAGGCAGCTCCCGAACCACGACCTGCCATACCGCCCCCCCCTCTCAAGTTTGATGGGGATGGAAGAAATAAATAAAATTAATGGAAGAAAGAAATCCAGAAATCTGAAATAGCCGTTTTCTAATCTTTCGTAGCATTGCCAAATATTAACTCACAACAAACAGCTTCCAGTGCACAAATAAATATCCCTTAGGCGGTTTTTGAGTGCATTATTTCCACACCTTTCCCTACGGACCCGCTATCTTGAAAGTGCTGCTGTCCCACTAACCCTCCTGCCTCCTCCCCCTCCTCCCCATCCAGCCAATGCCTAATCAGGACAGAGTGGTACGTGACTGTTGCAGTCTCGTATACCACTGCGAGGGAGTCCCTTCGTGTGCCTGATGGGACTCCCTTCTCTGACGGTTGCCATGCTGAAGCGTGCAGTTCATATATTGAGAGAAAAATTAAGTACTCTATGGGGTTGCAATTGACCTGGGAAAAGGAGGCGGTCAAAACCATGCCCTTCGAGTACTTGATTTTTTTTAATCTTTTGAAGAGCTGCCAATCAAAATGAGTCTTTCTATTTTCTTTTCCGGCCTCCCATTCTTGGGAACTGAAAAGAAAAAGCACAAAAAAAAAGAAGAAAAAAAAGACACGACTTCAGAATATAAATCCATGGAATTTCGCTGCCATCCGATTCTCCTGCATCAGTGGTAGGGCGGATCATGGTAGGACGATGACCGGCCAATGTCCCGCAGGTGTTTGTGGGACACAGTTTACCTTACTCCGTTGCTAGTGGAACCATGCTCCCGAAAAGTGAAACCATGCTCCCGAAAAGTGGAACCATGCTCCCAAAAAGCTTCGCTGGCATGGACAGTAGTTTCGAAAGGGCAAGATCCTCCTGCCTGTCACGAGTGTTTCTTTTCTTTTCTTTTTTAATTTGGACCATTTCTCGATTCAAAGAATCCTTTTATTTTTATTCAGAAATGCAAAGAAAACAAGGCCAACGCTATGCATCCACACTTCCATCCACACTTCCACCAACCCGGTACATCTGCATGTGACCTTCCCGCTGGCCTGTTCGCAGTCTTCCACGGAAATCTTAATATTCTCAATTTCTGCGAAAAAAAATAGCAAGGCGCGAAGCTTCAAAAACACCCCCCCCAAAAAAAACCATAGTATTGAAGCTTCACGCCAACCCAAAGTGGCCAACAAATGATTAAGAAAAAAATTCTACTAGCCGACAGAGCGTAAATAGGACGTAGTGGGACGAGGCCCCAGGGACCTTGTCACACTTGCACCGTTTAGTTGAGGCAGCTCAACAGTGCGACAGCTAAAAAAAATCATTCTAATTCAATTTCAAATGAGAAATGCATTTATAAATGGCACCAATACAATTGTGTCTGGTTTTTCTTTCTTCACAATTGGAAAGGCATACGATACGGGCACTTCCACAGCACAAAATGAAGAGTGAGTTGCCAGAATCCCTTTTGTACAAAAATGGCAAACGGAAGGAGGCTCGTACAGTTTCTCTAAAAAAACGCCTTTTGGGGAAACAAGAGGGTGGTTGAGCTAGCCGTCTCGAAAAAAGGAGACAGCTAAGACAGCTAGCTCACCGAAAGTGGCGAGGGCAGGGGGAGTTGTATTCGAGAGAAAGGATTTACTTCTGCTTTTTGTTGTCAGAAAAAGCAAAGATAGTCCCTATTGCCGTTTTTATTACAAACGGACCCCTAGATGACTTGGACGACGTGCATCTACGTTGTCGCCCACAGTCACACAGCGTCTAAAACCCAACGTTGACCTAGCTCAACGGAGCTAGTGGGACAAGGTCCCAGGGGCCATGCTAATCTTCTTTCTCTGTATAGCTCCAAATTTTACGGATGTCCCGAAGGGCACGAGTGTTTCTTGGAAAGACCGTGAGTGGTCTTTTGGAAAGGGCCTCTCTAGCACAGGCTTCACTCCGGGGTTGAGATGTTGAGGGATTCCGGGCCTCATTTGATCACCTTATTATAATATGACCCGCAACCGGAAAAAAAGAGAGAGAGGGCCTCTCGAGACGGCCTAGTAGCGCAAAAAAAAAACGAGGGGCGATTACCAGGGCCTGGCTCCACTACTCTACACGTGCACAAGACACAAATATCATGGTGGTGTATCTTTCCATGTTCAAGGGAAAGATTCACACCATCCTTTTGCACATCGCCAGAGTGGTGGAGCGACGCCCTAATGTGCATATGGAACGGCCTTCCTGTTTCGAAAGCCTGTGAGGCGCAGGGGGGTTGTCGTTCGAAAGTACTCCTTTTGAATTCCGTCTGACAAATTTCGGAAAATGCCCTCGCTGTTTCAAAAGGCTGTGCGGCGAGCCCCTGAATCTCAATTCAGAAAATTTGAGATGCATGAACGCATAAATGAACATGAAATTGTGAATTGATTACTGAGTAATGATGACGTGAATTCATTATTGAAATGAATTAATGCACGGGTAGACTAAGGCTACCAGAGTGCTTGGAGACCTCTTGGCACCGCCCAACCAAAGGAAATAAATTTTAATTAAATTAATTTGGTATAGAATTGCGATGTCACGGCACGCACGCACACACACACACACACACACACACACACACACACACACACACACACACACACACACACACACACACACACGAGAGGAGGAAGACTGAAGAAGAAGAAAACCAACCATCAACTCTCTTCCATACACACATGAGAGATCCCGAACCCGGGCGATGATGTGAGATAAGAACTAACGAGCTAGCAACAAGGTGGGGCTAAGCAAACTGTGGCAGCGGAGGAGGAGAAGAGGAGGGAAGAATCTGTATTCATTGTTTCAAGGAGACATAATCGCACTGCATGGACAAATCAAGCATTGACTGTCATCCAGTACATTCGAGAAAGCTGCTAGCCCCATAAAACGACACGCACACACACACACACACACACACACACACACACCCCTTCGCCCTGCTAGCCCCATAAAACGACACGCGCGCACACACACACACACCCCTTCGCGCGCCCGAATGCAAACCCGTGTACGCACATGTGGACACACATGTACAGCGGGGGGACGTTGGGGAAAGAGCGAGCTCGTGCGTCCGTTCGCGCGCGCGCGCGCGCGCGCGCGCGAGAGAGAGAGAGAGAGAGAGAGAGAGAAGAGTACGAATGTTGAGAAGAGAGGAGGCGTAACGCCGGTAACGGATCATCTGGAAACATACTAATAAAAAATCCAATACGCAGTCGCCGTCGCGTCACTTCGGAGAACAGAGCGGAGGCCGCCGTATGGCTGACTAGCATGAACAGGGAAGAGAAGACGATGATAGGGAAAGGAACAGAGTAAAAGCAAGATTGATGACAAAGCAAGGAGGGCAATGACAACCTTGCTCTGTGACATAGTGATTCAAGGCCATTGGGACCCCAACAGTAATAGGATCTGTTCAATCGAGGCAGCATTGTCGTGCGTCCAAGGAAGAAGAGAAAGCAGAGAGGTAGGAAGTACCTGTCGCCTCGTGGAAAACCGCCAGACAATCACCTCTCAGTGCAGCTCGACGAACTAACTCCACAAGACCGAATCGAGACCGGACAACCAGGATGGAAGCGGTATCCGCCTGAGGTGACTTATACAAATCTCTCTCTCTCTCTCTCTCTCTCTCTCTCTCTCTCTCTCTCTCTCTCTCTCTCT